TAGCTTCTGGCGGTTGCTAACAAGTGACTGAATAAGAATACTAAATCTCTTCCCGCCAAAAAATAGCCACCTTTAGCTTAGCGGTTGTGACGTGCAGCAATGGTACCGTGATGTGGATCTTTACCGTAGCTTTTTGCTTCTTGCAATTGCACTTATGCTTAAATGAGGAGATTATCCTGCTGAACATAATTATGTGTTTGCCACTTATCTTTTCTTCTGCAATAATCCAAAATGTTATGTAAAGAAAACGTCATCACTGCACCACTCTATACACATCAGCATGTTAAACGTTATGCAAAATCCTCTTCCTCATGTCTCTTCTACATCAACATGTGTCCCCTCTTCCTCATGTCTCTTCTACATCAACATGTGTCCCCTCTTCTCCATGTCTCTTCTACATCAACATGTGTCCCCTCTTCTTCATGTCTCTTCTACATCAACATGTGTCCCCTCTTCCTCATGTCTCTTCTACATCAACATGTGTCCCCTCTTCTCCATGTCTCTTCTACATCAACATGTGTCCCCTCTTCTTCATGTCTCTTCTACATCAACATGTGTCCCCTCTTCTTCATGTCTCTTCTGCATCAACATGTGTCCCCTCTTCTTCATGTCTCTTCTACATCAACATGTGTCCCCTCTTCTTCATGTCTCTTCTACATCAACATGTGTCCCCTCTTCTTCATGTCTCTTCTGCATCAACATGTGTCCCCTCTTCTTCATGTCTCTTCTACATCAACATGTGTCCCCTCTTCTTCATGTCTCTTCTTCATCAACATGTGTCCCCTCTTCTTCATGTCTCTTCTTCATCAACATGTGTCCCCTCTTCTTCATGTCTCTTCTACATCAACATGTGTCCCCTCTTCTTCATGTCTCTTCTACATCAACATGTGTCCCCTCTTCTTCATGTCTCTTCTGCATCAACATGTGTCCCCTCTTCTTCATGTCTCTTCTACATCAACATGTGTCCCCTCTTCTTCATGTCTCTTCTGCATCAACATGTGTCCCCTCTTCTTCATGTCTCTTCTACATCAACATGTGTCCCCTCTTCTTCATGTCTCTTCTACATCAACATGTGTCCCCTCTTCTTCATGTCTCTTCTACATCAACATGTGGAAAGAGATTCTGAAAGTTTCAGGAACAAATATTCTCTCTCTTTTTGATCCATTTTTATAAAAACCTGTCTGAAAATGAGCTGATCAGATTTTGGCCACTTTATGATGTCATAACGATGTTTTGGCTTGAGTAACCATTAGCCAATCACCAACCAAGGTAACCCCCCCCCCCCCCCCCCCCACCTTATCGCCTGAATCTCCTCCTAGAGCACCATTGTGTTCTTTGTAACCAAACCTCTCTCAGAGGGGCGTGGGGAGGGGCTCCTTATTTTCATCTAAAGTAACAGACAGAGAATCAGCACTTTGGAAACAGGGCTGAAACAGAGGGGATTATGGGTAATGCTGCAATGTAGGGCTGTGCGATTATGGCAAAAATCATAATCACGATTATTTGGTCAATAATTGATATCACGATTATTTTGACGATTATTCATTGACCATTTATTGAACTTTAAAACAAATAATATTTTACCAATAAACAAGATCAATAAATGTGTTGGAGCGCACTTCCAAAACCATACTAAACATATATTATTAATATGATAAATAAAAATAAATTAGACCAAAATAAATTAAATCCTACATGTTGCAGTGCACTGTCACAACCTACTGAAAACTCCTTAACATATAGCCAACATTTTGGTAAAACATATTCAACATATTCCACTCAGTTAAACGTTGAAGGTTGGCCAACCGTCATGGTCTAGAAGTAACAGGAAATAAATGTTGAACTACAATTTAAGACCAAATAAAAATGTTTAGGCCACCATGGTCACACCATGCTGGTAGGGCTGCTCATGTCATCTCTTAAAGATTTTTTGCAAGAAACACCAGGCTGTTTACATGGTCTGGTTTCAGAGATGAGCGCAGGCAGGTGACAATATTGCCACCTGTACTGAAGACCCTCTCTGAAGAGGAACTTGTGGCAGTGCTGCCACATATGACACAGGAAAAAAAGAAAAGACTCTGAAGAACCCTTTCTTTGCCATTATTAGGGCCGGGACTCGATTAAAAAAATTAATCTAATTAATTAGAGGCTTTGTAATTAATTAATCGAAATTAATCGCATTTTTAATCACATATAAATATTTTACCTGAGAACAGTGAGAAGCAATTTTTTTCACATGGATTTTAGTATACCATTAGGCGCATTCACACCGCAGTACTTTTCCCACAAAGGTTCATGAGAACTCTTTGAACCTGGGGGAGGATTAGGCAAATGAAGCCGCTGACGTCACTTCTTCTTCTTTGGTTTTACTGGCAGGCCGCAAACCACTTCACGGCGTATACTACCACCCAAAGTCCCCGGAGTTAGGGACTGGCTTCAGTAGAAGCTGCTGGGAGTCCCAGCAGCTTCTACTGAAGCCTTCCGAGTAAATCGCCAGAACGCCGACACCTCCTCATCTCCACCGCTCCCATGTTTTATTTTGTGTTGCCAGAAGTTAGTCTCTCTGCGTTTCTGCGCTGGGCTAATGCTAATAATGCTAATGCGAGGATAATAAAATGGCGGCTTCACAAAACTTTTTGGGAGTTTTACGGGGCGTGGTTTGCAATCCGCCCAGCCAATCAGAAATATAGCTCTTTTCTCACAAGAGAGCCGTACGAAAGTCCCTGCTCTCTAGCAGCTCTCTGCTCTCTAGCAGGGACTTTCGTGAGGGTAAAAAGGTTCTCATGAACTAATTTTAGTACCGGCTCTTTTTGGTGTGAACGCGATAAAAGAGGCTAACGTCCACGCTAGCTTCCACGCTAGCTGCTATATGTTTTGCATTGAGGTGATACTTGAGGCTTGATGTGCTGCGGTGATATGCGAATTCCTTTTTGCATAATTTGCACACAACCGTGCTCTTATCGACGCTTCCATCCGTCCGTTTTTAAAACAACATTTCCCACTGTTGTTCACTGTGGTTTGTTGTTGTCTGAAGTCATGAACGTTAGTTGGTGCTCCAGTATAATCGGTACGCCTGAAACTCATCCAGTGAGAAACGTTCCGCGGTGCAAAAATAAGTGCGATTAAAATGCGTTAATTTTTTTAACGCGTTAATTTTTGTGTAATTAATTAATCTTAATTAACGCGTTAAAGTCCCGGCCCTAGCCATTATATAAAAATAGTGTTGCTACAAAAGTATAAATTAGGCTTACTAATAAGACAACTCAGATCTGAAGCTACACAGTAATCTGCTGCAGCAACAGTGCAATAAAAAAGACAACATTAATAGAATCAAACCCATTTTTTGTTGCATTTTATTAGAGTATACAAATAAATGCCTTTAAAATAGGATGCAAGCAACACTAGTTTATGAACTGATCGACTATAATCAATTTAAACAGAACAGATCTTAATGTTTGCATTCTTATACCATTTTGTACAATAATTATCATGAATAAATTCAAACAAACTAAAACTTACAGCTGATTAATAACGGTATCTAAATTGAGTTTTTATTATATCAAAAACCTGTTGAAATGCTGCTGTTATTTTACTGTCCCACAAAAGCGCGTCGCAGCCTCCAGGAAAGCTTCTTTCATAACTTCGCCGTCTTCGAAAGACTTCATGTGTTTCTCAAGAACGTGACTGACCCGATAAGATGCTGTGGTAGCAGCCTTGCTCTTGTTGTTGGGCCTGGTGAAAATGGGCTGCTGTGCATTTAGCTGTGCTCTCAGGCCCCTCCCCTTTTGGAGCGTAGGGCAGAATTAGGAGGGAATTCCGTCTCGTAGCGTTTGTGTACTGTTTTGAAATGCCGCTCCTAAATTACCCTTCTTCGATAAAGCCACGCTCGCATTGCAGATGAGACAGATGGACTTTGAATTGGAATAGATACAAAAATAATGATCCTCCCACTTGGAGTGAAAATTATATCTGTCACTCCTGTTGACCATCCATGCTGTTGACACGGACAACGTCAGCGAACTAGTGCACTGCTCACCAGCCACGCCCGGACACATGGGGTGAGGCCGGCCAATCACAAAGCTTTGATGCGTTCAAGTGCATTATTCTGGCACGGGAACATTATGTTACAGGACATTAACGATAAAACAGAATATTGTTGTTCTATTTTTAGACACATCTCGCGATCGACTGGGAATCTCCCCGCGACCCTTCTTTTTAACTAGTTGCTGCTCTTGTTCTGACATCTTCGCTTGCGCTGAACACTCACAACACATGTCACTCCCACGTGGCCGAGTGGGCTTTTAGGGAGGGGCGAAAGCGCACCCAGCAAAATAATCGTATTTTGTCAATTATGCTGTTTTCCTAATCGTCGCAAACCATAATCGTAATCGCGATTAAAATACGATTAATTGCACAGCCCTACTGCAATGATCTGTTTGGTGTTTGGAGCCACAGAGACATGTTTGTTATATATCTGAGACCTATAATATATATTGATGATAAACAGTATAATAGGGGACCTTTTAAGAAGTGGGAAAGCAGTGGATTTAGGGTCTCCACGATGCAGCTGTGAGCCTCTGGTTGTAAATCACACCTCTCAGTGGGGGTGGTAATAGTGGTGGTTGTGTTGACAGTGAAAATGAGTGGGTGGGGGTCCAAAACAGCCATGTTCCCCCTCACTGTGTCGAGACCCCGTCTGTCACTTTGTTTTGACAGAGCTGAACCGCTCCCAAGACGCCTTCTCCACACTTAAAGCCCAAAACTCTGGCCCGTTTCTGCACGAACACGTCTGCGTTTGGCCCCGTGCAAAATCTCCATCTGTCCCTCTCCGATTTATGGAGGCGCTTCATGCTCTCTGAGCAACGTGGGAAAGATTGTTGAACGGCTGTTTTTCTAAAGAGTTTCTTTCAGTTGTACGGTGACACATTACAACACATGCTTTAACATGTGTTCTTCAACATGTGTTGCTTTAACGGTTTCTCTTTATTTGTATTTTTCAGGGCAAATATCGCGGAGGTGGAAACGGAGGTTGTGGAGATCGAGGCAAAACTAGATAAGGTAAGAAATGTTGTATTACACCCTCATTTATTTGATACTGTCCAACTCGGCACATGCTTACTAGTTACTAATGCTTAACCAATCTACTGCATTACAGGATACAAAAGGATTGGTACACTTTTCTCTCTTGGGGTTAAACTTCCAAGCATGTCGCCGCTTCTCTCCAATCATTGATATTATAGCGGATGTTTGCAGCATCTCTCCAAGGCCACATGTTGCATACTAACTAAAGCAGCTGACACTAACCTATCTGTTTCAGTATGCCATCTCTTAAAAGCCAAATCAGAGCATCATAAAACCAGTTTGTTTCCTTTGGCTTTCTCTTGATGTCTGTGCCTTTTTTGCTTTTTAGTGTTTTTCTTCTAATAAAGATCAAATAGGGTAACATATACAGAAGTCATCCAGCTCAACATTTAAAGTCAGTACAACAACTTTGCCATTTATAATACGCTTATGTTCTTGCTCTTAAAAACGTAAATTGAGATCAGCCCATCTGCTTTTCTTTTGTATGTGTTGGAGTCATACATCAGCTACCAGCATGGTTTTAGCATTTAAATGCATCTTAACATGTATAGAGCCTGCAGATGGAAAAATATTGATTGGAAACATGGACACCCTGTCATCTCCATGTATTAGCGTTGTATATTTGATGTCTTGGAGATAATTGCATGTTATCTTTTGGTTCTCGTAAACAGACTTTGACATTATACCGATATTGGACCCTCTTGATCTTCAGAGGGTATTTCACACACTAATCCCAGGCCTATAATGTGTATATATATTGGGATAAAAAAAAAAAACCTAAAGAAGGAGGAACGTTGTTATGATTTTTTCCATATTATGTCACAGCTTCTTCTTGCAACAGACATTGGAAACAGCTTGCCCATCACCTCAAGCTGTTCACTCCCAGCATGATACTCACTAGCTAATGCCAAAGTGCTAATATTGCTCGCTTCTAGTGACTGAAAAAGGACTGCAGAGTGTCGCTAGTTCAACTGAGGTTCACTTCACGTAAGACTAATCGAGAGTTCCTTATTAAAGGGGACCTATCCTGCAAAATGCACTTTTTGATGTCTTTCATACATCAAGATGTGTCCCCGGTGTGTCAGGGAACTCACGCAGCGTCAGAAAATAAAACCCTCTCTCTTTTCCTCCGAACCCAAATCTCTAAAAACGGGGGGTCCAACGGAGCTGATCCAGATGTGCGTCCGATATGACGTAATATCTGAAATGTGGACCCACGGCCCAATCAGAAACGTTGCTATCAGAAACAATGCCCGACTGTTTTGGACGTAATATGGTCGGTGTTTACATTAGCATCGCTAACACTCAGAGCTAACCTGTACTGGAGAGCATGTGTGTGAAGAAGCAGGAAGTAAAAAGGAACTCACCTTGTGGTATAACCGGCAAGAGAGAAAGCCTTTGAGCTCCAAACTGTTTCAGAGAGAATCCTTGGTAATCCATGATATGGCGTTTCATCACGGCAGCATTTAGTTTAGACGGTAGCTGCCGGGTCCCGCATGAGCTCAGACCCCTCCTTTTTTGAAAGCTTCATTCCCAAATCAGCACTTTTGAAACAGGAAGTGCAATAGAGGGATATGAGGCATGGCTAGAATGGGTGATCTGTATTTTGAGTTTAACACTTCATAGACATGTTTTTTATATATTTTTATATATCTGAGACCTGTGCTATTGCCTAAAAATAGCATGATAGGTGACCTTTAAAGTGTTTGTATTTGTAGTTTCCATTGTAAAAAAACACAGAAACCACCATACAAGTATAGTTTATTTCTCTGTACAAGACAAGAAATCCTCCAGTGTACCACGAGTTAACCAGCTTAAATATAGCATTACAGATCTTCTTATTTTCTATCATGGTTTTAGTTTTTGGCCATATTTATTATTTTTTAAACGTGACGTGGCTCTCACACTGCGTCCCGTTATAAAGAGGCAGGTGTTTTGCCGGTGATGCTCGTGTCACCGGTCCATCTGCTCCATTTGACATTAAATTACAGAACGTGTCTGAGAGAGCCTTCTCTTTCTGCCATCAGTGCAGGAATCCTCCATCATAGTTCATGAACTCCAGTCAGGAATGATTAGTCCTGCTAAACGTCAGCATGTTAGCATTACATTAAAAATGTATTCCAGATGTAAAATCCTTTCCACAAAGATTAGAGTAAGCGCTGACTAAAAGCAAACCAGAGCTTCAGCCTTTTTTGTGTGCAAATGTACTGTCATTTAACAAAGTGTATTGTGTTGTGTGTTGTATTCTATTTCCATGTTTGTAGTATATTGTGATTTTATGACACTGAAAGATATATTTTATATACAGACAATATATAATGTGTTTACTAACTTTAGAAGTGTTTTTTTTAATTGTGAGGCTAGCAGTTTCCTCTCATCCCTTATGCTAAGCTAATTTGCATTACAAAAATAAATAAAAGTATGTATACATTTACTGTATATACAAGTATCTACTCACCAATATACAAAAACACATATAGCCTAAATAAATAAATACACATTTAAAAAAATTTTTTTTTTGAAAAAGTTACAAATAAATTAAAAATCATACAAATAATAATCATATTAATAATAATATTATATATGATATAAAATGAAAAAAAAATGTAGATAAAGGTTGATTGCAAGACACTAATATATGAATATACACTGAACAAACAAGATACAATGTGTTTACTAGATAGCTTTAGAGGTGCTAATGCTAAGCTAATTTGCGTCTTGCTAAAACTTTAAGTGTTCAGACATGGTACCGATTTCTTCTTTAAGTCAAGGAATAATTGGTCTTTAAACTAATATAAATCAGTCTCATGTCTGGTTAGCAGCTGTTTGACTTTGGTGCTGAAAAACCTGGCATTAGATCACACCAAATAAATCCTCTGATGAACATAAAAGCTAAACAAAACACGCTCTGTGTCCGATAGATATCACACATTCTGCTGACAGCCACAGAGAAAACAACCGTGTCACAGTGTTACCGATCTGTGTGGAGCGACGTGCTATCAGGGGGCGAACATATGGAGCGCACCTGAGAGTCACCCACCACCGTCTGTTACCACAGGGATAATACACAAACTGCGGGACACGTCCTGGTCTGTGTGTGGTAATGTGCTGAAAACAGAGGAGAAAATGTGGTATTTTGATTTTAGTTTATTTATTTTTTTCGAGCGTGTAAAACCAAAGAAAATACAAATGAAACAAAAGATGATACAGACATGATACAGTACTATACAAATGAATGCAATAACAACACGAAATATTTAATTAATAATTGAATAGTCTGTATCATTGTCTGATATCAATAAACAACAAAACTTTAGTTAATTACACGTCCGAAAAGGAGTCGGAAGAAGTTTACACTTACATCCGACCCCTTTTTATTTATTTTATTTTATTTTTTTTTTATAACATCTTAATATATGTTAACATACAATATCAATGTATACTTTAACCTTGAATACTTTATATAATCATTCATATAATATATACAGGCAAGTTAGGAGAATGGTGTCTATATATTTATATATACACACATATGTACATACACAAATTCATACATACACAAATTCATAAATAGAATACAAAACAAGAATATAAACAGTTATGGTTTAGCAGTCCCTGTACCTTGTGAGAATTGTGTCTTTATACCTCTTTTTGAATAGTTTGATGTTTGGACATCCCTTTAGCTCCTCACTCACATGTTAGTGTTGTGGCTCAGCTTATAAAAATGTCTAATTCACAGAGCCTGGTTGTGTATGACGAGACAATATTAGATAACAGAAATTCAGGGCTGTAGGATTTTAGACAAACTTAGGCCACAATAACAAATTGCCACATGCAGTACAACCCCCAACAAAACAAAATACATATTTGGTGAATATTTTCTCCCACCTCCTCAATGCTTGGAATATAATTTTGTCGGAGAAATTCCCTTAATGTTTGCAGTTATTTTTGCTTATACAGCTAAAAAACTTAAAACTGATTTGATGTTTTCTCTACTACAATTGTATTTCCTTTGTAACTCTTATGGCGAAAACACACCAGATTAGCGGGGAAACATGGCCTTCAGGAAATTACCATGAAATGTTTATGGGAAGCTGCACCGTGCCATCCATGCTCAGCCATTTTAATTCCGACTTAATTCTTGATTTCTAACAATTAGGGATATTTGAACTTTTATGGATAAGAGAGAACACACAGCTAATCAGTCAATCTTGTCCTGTGACAGAAAATGTATATATTGCAAGAGTCGCACTTTGCATCACCTGGTTTGCCTTCAACGCTATTAAAACTTTTTAATATTATATTATACAGAAAAATCCCAAGGTAAAAAACACTGAACACTAACCAATACCCTTAAATCTTTGTGCTGCATTCCTCACCAAATGTCCCCATATTTCGTCAAAGATATGAACTTGATTTCTACAGTATTTCTCATGTTTCCACTCCTTAAAGTGATATATTTTCATTTGATGTGTCTCTGTGCTCCACAGCTGGTGAAGCTATGCAGTGGGATGATCGAAGCCGGGAAGGCGTACGTCAGCGCCAACAAACTCTTCGTTAACGGCGTCCGGGATTTATCTCAACAGTGCAAGAAGGATGAGTCGATATCGGTGAGGACAGGCCATTTAATCCGGTGTCTCTGTCTGAGGCATTAGAGCCTTTTTTATTTATTTATGTCATATTTAGCCATGTTTAGTGCCTAGGATCAGAGCCACGACAGTTATAATAATAATAAAGCTTTATTTATATAGCACTTTTAATACAACACATCCAGCTCAAAGTGCTTTACAAAATCACAAGTTAAAAACAAACAACAAGAAATTCTCCTCAGATTATTTGTTAAGAACTTTAAAAGGTACATGCAGCAAAATATAACATTTTATCAGATAGACACAAGGAGGTAAAATGTATGATAACAAGGAGGGTGTGTGTGGCGCAGTGGGTTAGTGCGTTGGTGTGTTGGTGTTCGGATCAAACCCCACTGTCAGCATGTCGTTGTGTCCCTGAGACACTTCACCCCAAATTGCTCCTGTGCGGATTGCCCACAGTATTGAGTGTGTAAGTCGCTTTGGATAAAACCGTCTAACAAGTGACATGTAATGTAAAATGTATGATAGTGAAAGTCTCCTGTGATTATGACTTGTGTCTCGTGTGTGTGAGTTAACCTGATTACTAACAGAACAGGAAGTGAGCATCAGATCCGATCTGGAAACATACTTCTGTCTCGTCTCGCAGCACCAAATGCTTTTTCATTGCTTCTGACATTAAGTGCTATTAAAAGCCTTCTTGGCTTCAACCGTCAGACTAATTGAGAGTTCCTTCGTAAAGTATTTGTAGTTTCCATTGTAAAAAAACACTGAAGCAACCATTCAATTACAGTTAATTCAATCCCTCAGAGTACCTCAAGTTAACCAGCTTAATTTTAGCTTTGCAGATCATCTCATTTTCTATTATGGTTTTTGGCTGTATTTATTTCTCTCTTTTACTTCCACATACAAATATAGCAGCTGTTCTGAGGAGAAAATATCCTCATGTACTACTTAAAGAATTATGTCATTTTCTTCTGTGTAGGAGTGCCTGGAAAAGTGCGGCGAGAGCCTCCAGGAAATCATCAACTACCACATGGTGAGTCTTCCGCTCCGCACATGCTCCACATATTGAGATGCAATGATTTCATCCAACATTAGCTGAGCTTTACAGGCCTCACAAGGCTCCTTTATCCCCGACTTCACTGAGGGTCAAGCTCCGGCTGTGTTTGAACTGATTCCACATGGACTTCTTCTTTCCCACATCATTAAATCTGTCCGTCGCTGTGAAGCTGTCAGGACTGTCAGTCAACACTGTATCACATCTCAGATGGTCCCACAGAGAGCAAAACGGCCCGGAAAACACACAAAAGTGGGTTTTATATAAGAAAAGTATGTAAGAGGGTTAAGTGAATTACTAACTAATAAGGCAACCCTTGAACATTGAAAATAAATGCCTTTAATATCAGTTTTAAGCCATTTTTAGAACACATTCAGGGTTGTGAAATCTCTCATTAGCAGGTGTTTTTTTAAATGTATTTTTGTTAATAATTTACATATGTTGGTATCCCATTATTAAATAGAATCGGAGGGATGAAACCCTCTTTGATGGTCACACATGCAGAGCACACAGCAAACAGTGAAATGTGTTCCCTGCTTTTAACCCATCCTTGTACCAGGAGTCTAGTACTAGGAGCAGTGGGCAGCTATTGTACAGCGCCCGGCGAGCAATGGGAGTGGGGGGGGGCAGGGGGGTGTCCGGTGCCTTACTCAAGGGCACCACGGCAGGGCAGGAGGTGAACTGGGACCTCTCCAAGTAGCAGTCCACACTCCATATTTAGGTCTGGTCGGGGACTTGAACCGGCGACCCTACGGCTCACAGTCCCTACTGACTGAGCAACTGCCGGACAAAATACACGCTTACCTTCCAATAACAAATCCCTTCTGGGGATATAAGTGTTAAAATATTAAATTAAATCATTTAAATCATGCATTTTGATGATTTAACTATTTATAAGTTGCTGAGAAATGTGCCGATTGTCGTCAGCCCATTTCCAGGAATAGTTACCCGTCCCTATTTATAATTTATAAGCCGTATATACAGTATATATATATAGTTTATCATACATTTTTGATAAGCCTCATCGCAGTGTATGTGTGTTCCTCACTCAGAGATTCGCAATACACTTTACTCGATATTAAATGAAAGAAAACAAACACTTTAATCCATTTGTTGAATCTGAATCCTTTAAAATCCTTCATTGGATGTTAAAGGAAAAATAAGAAGAACTCAAAGATGTCTTATCATTTGTTTTGCTGATAAAGCACAACTTCAAAACTAGATGAGCATCCTAATATATGAACTGTAAATGTAAACGGCTTTACAGAGTTGAAATTAACGATAATTAGCTTCAGCTGATCCAAATCTACCACTGGTTATATTAACCGTTGAAACCAATGATCAGCAACGACTGAAAATAAGAAGCATCTAACTTGTATAAGAAGTGTGGGGAGACATAAAAGATTTGTTGGTGCAGCAGTTTTGGGGATTTTGACGAACAGGAACTAGAAAAATGTATCTGGATATTAAAGGGGACCTATCCTGCAAAATGCACTTTTTGATGTCTTTCATACATCAATATATGTCCCCGGTGCGTCAGGGAACTCACGCAGCGTCAGAAAATAAAACCCTCTCTCTTTTCCTCCGAACCCAAATCTCTAAAAACGGAGCTGATCCAGATGTGCGTCCGATATGACGTAATATCTGAAATGTGGACCCACGGCCCAATCAGAAACGTTGCTGTCAGAAATAATGCCCGACTGTTTTGGACGTAATATGGTCTGTGTTTACGTTAGCATCGCTAACCCTCAGAGCTAACCTGTACTGGAGAGCATGTGTGTGAAGAAGCAGGAAGTAAAAAGGAACTCACCTTGTGGTATAACCGGCAAGAGAGAAAGCCTTTGAGCTCCAGACTGTTTCAGATCCTTGATAATCCATGATATGGCGTTTCATCACGGCAGCATTTAGTTTAGACAGCAGCTGCCGGGTCCCGCGTGAGCTCAGACCCCTCCTCTTTTATTTTTTTATCAATTCTTTTTTATTTTTAAAGCTTTATACCCAAATCAGCACTTTTGAAACAGGAAGTGATATAGAGGGATATGAGGCATGGGTAGAATGGGTGATCTGTTTGGTATTTTGAGCAAAACACTTCATAGACATGTTTTTTACATATTTTTATATATCTGAGACCTATGCTATTGCCTAAAAATAGCATGATAGGTGACCTTTAAAACCTTTCCCTCCCTACATGCATAAACATTAAATGCATTGTAAACTACTTGTTAAATGTACAAAACAATTTCTGTTAAAGGTGGGGTAGGTAAGTTTCAGAAACCCGCTCGAGATACACTTTTTGTTATATTCCATGGAATGCTCTTAACATCCCGATAGCAATGAATATCTTAAGTGCTTTGACAAAAAATCCATAAAAAAATGTACTGTAAAAAGCACGAAAACGGATTGGATTGCCGCCCTGTCTGTCAGCCTTCCATCTCGTGCACGCACAAATGTATCTCGTGCCCTCATTGGGCGTGCCGTCATTGGGCGTGCATTGCGCGTTCATGTGTGTTGGAGGAGGTGCTCTGTAAGGAAGTCTGAAGGAAGGGACGGATTCTTTTCGGCTGTGTACTTTCAAATTTTAGTGCACTCGAGCTGGTTTCTGAAACTTACCTACCCCACCTTTAAAATGTATTCATTAGTTGATAAAGCTGCATGTTTTGCAAAATAAATACACATTTTGATTATTTTTGACTGATATTGTAAATGAGAATCACAGTATTACTGTATAATACATTATCATTGAAAAATACATTTAAATTATTCCATTTTTTCAGAGGGTCTGTATTTGTGAAGTCTATAGAATATGATTGATTGGCCCGGATATCGCTGCAGCTTCACAATACTAATATTAAGTCTTAAACATATATTGTGCTACAGTATCTGCAATTTGATGATAAATCGATAAAATATTTGAATTAACCCGTGCCCGCCCTAGTTAGTTTTCCTTACAACTTGTCTATAAAGCATTGGCAAACGAGTCATTAACGTTATTAACGGCAGTAGTAACATCGTAAAAACCTATTATAAACAATGCTTTAGTAGAGACCGCTACAGTAAAAGCCTTGTTTTTGTACATTATCTGTTCAACAAGGCAGTTATGTACAAGTATTTAAGGTCATATCCACTCATCTAACGGCAATAACATTCCTCAGAATCAGAACCTTGAATAACAATAACAATTAGGTAATATTTGTAATAGCTTTACAGCTGTGGGGTTTCCCCTCCGAGGCTCCTGACCTCTTGACCCCTGAGGCCCTTTGAAGTCCATTAGCTGGGACCCTTGTGTGTGTGTGTGTGTGTGTGAGTGTGTGTGTTGTGTGTGTGGTGTGTGTTGTGTGGGGGGGGGGGGGGGTGTGTGTGTGTGTGTGTGTGTGTGTGTGTGTGTGTGTGTGTGTGTTGTGTGTGTGTGGTGTGTGTGTGTGGTGTGTGTGTGTGTGTGTGTGTGTGTGTGTGTGTGGGTGTGTGTGTGTGTGTGTGTGTGTGTGTGTGTGTGTGTGTGTGTGTGTGTGTGTCGGGGGTCAGCTGACAGAGTGAGGGTCAATAGAGCCGCGATGCTCAGCCAGGCGAGGATTAGCTTCAGACAAAAGTGACCTTAGTTAACCTTGAGTGTGTTATATATGGTCTGGCATGTGTACAGTATGTATGTGTGACTGTCTATAGCATGTAGTCAGACAATAGTGTCCTCCAAGCTGATGTGTTTGTGCCAAACTCTTGTTTTGCTACCAGACACATTATTCCTTATGAGACCTATAATATATTGATGAAAAACAGTATAATAGGGACCTTTAAATCTTCATGTTGCTTCTTTTGAGGATGGAGGATCTGGTTGTCCAGTTGTTGCTGTTTTTTTAGTTTAGGTTATCCATTTGCCTTTTACTTTAAGTAGAGGAAGATCTGGTTCCTACGGTCCCTGGTGTGACCTCCATCGTTTTGTTCTTCTTGGCGTATCCTCCAGGATTGCATAGTTTCATTTAGTTTGATTGAAATGTTATTATAGCAGCCTCTCGGCGTTGGCGTCTCAAATTGATGTCGTAGGTCACAACCTCAGCCACAAATGTTTTAATGTTGTTTTGTCAGAATCAGAATCGTTTGTATTACCAAGTAGGGTTACACATACGATGAATTTGCTTTGGTATATGAAGAATATGTAGTCGTATCAGGGACAACAATATCAGCCAATGAAGCAAAGGTTGTTATCCGAGCAAAGAAAAATGTTATATATTATTCTCTTCTGCTTCAGAGGCTTTAAAACAAATCAGAGCAGGAATGTAGATGAATATACTTTATTATCTCTGTAAGGAAATTAGTTTTGGACCCCGTCCTCCAGAAGATAAAAGTCATACAAACTATTTTGAATACTTTGTAATAGCATGGTTTACGACAGGACTTTATCAGACTGTATTTGTTTCGACTAGAGCAGGGGTGTCAAACTCAATTTCATCACGGGCCACATCAGCATTATGGTTGCACTCAAAGGGCCGGTTGTAACTTTAAGACTATATAAGAATACATATATACATATTTTAAATATATAAAATAATGTATTATATTACATTATTTCCTCTGCATTGGATTTTTATCAAATAGGGTAATAACTTCATAATTAACTACGTCTGAAAACAGAAGTCTAGCGCAAATAATTGCAAGTCTCTTCAGTGAGAATGTCACAAAATGATTTGAAGAAAAAACACATTCTGAAAATCAAAAAAAAGAAGTAACATTTTGAAAAAAAAGAACAATTCTGAGAAAATGGCAAATTCTAAGATAAAGGAATATCTGAGATGCATTGTGGGACATGTAGTTTATGGGCAACGTGCTTCTGTAAAGCTGCACGTAACCGTATAATAAATTATATTCTTTGCAAGCTCTTGTGGGGCCACAGCAAATGAAGTCACGGGCCAGATTTGGCCCCCGGGCCTTGAGTTTGACACCCCTGGACTTGAGTGTACATTTACCCTTACAAGCAGCACACTCTATAA